CCGCCGGGGGAAGGAAACAAGTTTGAACAGCGGCGCCCGGCCCCCTTCCCCCTCCCCCGTCCCCGCCCCGGGCCGGATTCCGACAGGGTAGACGGGCAGGGGGCGGCGAGGACCCCTCCCCCAGCGCGCCCGGGCGCAAAGTCCAGCCCGCGCGAGCCCGGGGGCGGCGGGGGAGGGGAAGGGGGAAAGTCCGAGTGGGAGGGGGGTTAATCCTACTGCCCCCCGCCCGGCGATCAAGGTGGGGGGGGAGGGGAATCCCTGGCCCCTTAAGGAGGAGCAACTTGGCGGGGAAGAGAAGGGAGGGAAAAGACGGCCCGCTGAAAGAGAAGAGCAAGATCGGGGAGGGGGGGACGAGGAAGGGGGGGAGCCTCGGCGTCTCCCCCCATCTTTCCCACCCTCCTCAACTCCGGGCCTCCGCCTGCGCCGGAGGAGGATACCCAAGTCTCCCCGGAGCCACCTTAAAGCCGCGCGTTCTAAGGTCGGAAACAAAAAGTTCCTTTTTCGAACGTTCGGGCTGCGCTTTGGAACTTTGCGACTCGGTGCGGGCGGGGGAGCGAGGAGCCGGCGGAGACGGGCGGGGGAGGGGCGGTGCAGCCCGGACCCCGAATCCCGGGCTCCACATTCACGCCCTCCTAGAAGCCATCCTATATCCCCCACTAACCCGGTGCGGGGCACGCGCCGCCGTGAAGGTCACGGGCCGGACCGCGCAGCGCAGAGCCGGGGAGAGCGGGCCGGGTGTCCAGAACCACCCCCCCCCGCCCCGCACACGTCCTGGCCCCTAGAGTGCAACGTGACAGAGCGACTGGGAGGGACCCTGCCACCCCCGTGATCCGGGGAGAGGACAAGAACCCAGCTCGCGGGGTCCGGGAAGGGAGAGAAGACCAGCACCCGCAGCACCCATACCACTCGGAAAGGATCCACGAACTGGGGCTCCCAAGCAGCACCCCCAGCTCGCGCCACTAGAAGCAACAGGTCTCGAGTGCTTGGGGGGGTCCCCCCAGAACTGAGGATCGATCGGGATCCCCTCGACCCCTTCAGCCCTCCGCCCAAAGTTTTTCCTCCCGGTTTCCCGGGGCAACAAGTCTCCCCCACACGTGCTGCCCCCGCCCCCACCTGTGTCCGCCGGGGTCTTCATGCTGGGGGGCCCGGGGCAAGGCGCCCCGACTCCGGGCTGCGGCTCCCGGCGCCCGCGCTGCCCCGTCCCGTCCCGCGCCCGTCGGGCCGCCCTCGCCGCCTCACCGGGCCTCGCCTCTCAGAGCCTCTCCCCTCCCCGCCGCCGCCTCCCGGGTTAATATCGCACTCCGGGGCCGGGACGCCCACGCCCCCCGGCCGGCGACGTCACCGCCGCGTCGCCATGGAGACACTGCGCCCGCCCCCTCCCCGCGCACTCACATGCGCTTGCCGGCGCGCAGCCACTGAGGACCGGCCGGCTCTAGGCTTAAAGGGGCCGCGCGGCGGGGGAGGGAGGAAGATGAGGGCGGGGAGGGGCTGGGGGCCTGGGGGTCATGACCCTTCCCGGAGGCTCCGAGTCTGCAGATAACTTTAGTCTTCAGCACTAGCTACCTGCTGCCCCACCTCTCCTGCCCACTGCTGGCTCCGGAGTTTCTTTTGGAAGCTTTTGCACGAAAGGAACCTTTGGGGGGTGGGGGGTGCGTTTAGATATTTGGTGGGGGGATGCAGATTCTTCTCTGGAGGGCAGTGGAGTCTGGGACCTTGAAGGATGATCAAGAGCATAGCCATTTCCCAGCCCGGGCTTACCCAGCCCCCTCAACCGGGAGCCTGAAAGAGGGCAGCTGTCCAGGGGTGGGGTGGAATGGGTGGGAAACATTTCTCAGCATCGGAAATCGGGAGGCGGCTATGCCCTCCGCTCCTGTGAAGATGGGGTCTTGGCCTTCCTGATAGACCCACTCCAGCTGGTGAGGAAGTGACCAGAGAGGTTGCATTCTGGAGCCCCCACAACCACCACTGTTCCCAGGCTGCAGCTGTTCTGAGGACGCAGCCGGAGGTACCCCCACCTCCACACTAGAGCAGAGGGTTCCGGTGGTGCGGTCAGGATGTAGGGGGCGACCCAAGTCTGAACAAATGTGCTCCCAAGGGGCACTGGAAGTCGTCAGGAGAGAGGAAGACAGGGCTTAAGACTAAGACGCGAGTGTAGGGGAAGTGTAAGTCTTCTCTGCAGCAGCTGGGAGGGATGGATGGAGCCTGAGGCTCGGGAAACAGGAAATCGGGGTGCGGATCGCATGAAGGTAGACAGCCTTCCACGGGATAAAGAGCAAATAGAAGCTCTTCCCACAAGCTAAGCCTAGACACAGTTTCGGGGGGTGAGGGGGCGACAGCAGACCCGGAGTTACCAAAAGAAGAGAGTATGGGGCTCAAGGGAGACCAATGCAGAACGGAGAAACAAACCAGCCAGGGAGAGGGAAGGCCCCTAGGGTTCAGCCCAGATCTGGGTGCTGAGGGCTTCCAGCCCAGCTTTCTTCGTTGCTGGGTTCCTAGTCAGCCGTTGACCAGCTCACCAGTGTTTCAGAAGTCTCATGCCTCCTCCTTGGGGAGACCCAAGGCCTCCAGGGAGGTGGCACCCCCTTTGGGAAATTATGTAACCTTGCCTACGGACAGCGCATCTCCCCCACGGACTTTGTAACCCTTTGGGAGCGCTGTGGTCCATCGGCATTAATACAATAACAGCTCCCAATTCCGAGTGCCCACGATGTGCCAGGCGCTGAGCCAAACATTGTCAGGGGCATCTTCTCATTTACGGCTGCTTAAATCCCAATGAGTGGATTACTATTGTTACCCCCCCATTTACAGATTAAGAATAAAAGCCTTTGATATGGGAAATCAATCTGCCAAAGTCCTCTAGCAAGGAAGTGCTGGGAACAGTATCCAAGCCCTGAGCTATCCAATTCCAAGCCCTCAGACATTGTATCTCACTGTTTGAAATATAAAAGTAACAGCCCCTTCTCACCAGCAAAACAGATTTGAGTTGTAACCCTAATTCTGCTACTCCATCTCTGACCTAAGACAAAGGAACTCACCTCTTTGAGCTTCCATTTTTCATCTGTAAAATGGGGCTATTAGTAGACCCTATGTGATAAAAATCATTATGAGAAATCAGGATGTGAGGTAAGCTCACAGTATTGGGCTGGGGTATAGTTCCATGGTAGAGCATATTCTTAGCATGTTTGATTAAATATTTAAATAAGGCCAAGCATAGTAGCTCATGCCTGTAATCCAAGCACTCAGGAGGCTGAGGGAGGAGAATTGATGGAGTTCCTGCCCAGCCTGGGTTACTACGTGTGACTTCAAGGCCAGCCTGGGTTACAATGTGAGACTGTCTCAAAAAAAATAATAAAATAAATGTTTAACTAAAATTAATACTGGTGGTAATTACAGAGACTTATACCCCATGTACCTTGTGAATGTGAGCACTCTGTGCCTGACAGACTACCAACTATAGATGGTAAACACGTCACTGGCAGTGTGGAACTGTGCCAGGCACGATGGTAAATGCCTGTAATCCTGGCATTTGGGAGGTTTGAGGCAGAAGGAGCCTAAATTCAAAGCGAGCTTGGGATATACATACAGCAAAACCAGTCTAAGAAAAAAAAGGCACTTCACATTATTATAATGCCCACTACGTTCTGGCAGTGTGCTAAATTAAAAGGGGGAGTGTTCATGTTCGCTGGGGATGTAGCTCAAATAGTAGACTGCTTGCCTAGCATGCAGGAAACCTTGGATTCTACCACCAGCATTGAATAAAGCCGGACGGACATGGTGACACCTGTGATTCCAGCAGTTGGAAGGAGAAGGGTGGAAGATCAGAAGTTCAAGGTCATTCTCAACTACATAGCTAGTTTGAGACTAACCTAGGCTGTCTCAAATATATACATACCCAGGTATGGTGGCCCACGCCCTCACCCTCAGGAGGCAGACACAAGTGGATTTCTGTGAGTTTGAGGCTAGCCTGGGCTACATAGAAAGTTCCAGGCTAGCTAGGGCTACATAGTGAGACCCTGTCTCAAAAACAAACAAAAAAAGGGGCTGGAGAGATGGCTCAGCAGTTAAGAACGCATACTGCTCTTGCAGAGGACCACAGTTCACTTCCCAGCATCCTTATCAGGCAGTTCACAAACTGCCTGTAACTCCAACTCGCCCTCTTTTGGACTCCATGGATACCTGCACTTGCATGCACACAGATGTACACACACACACACACACACACACACACACACACACACAAACATACACTTTAAAATAATTTTTTTTTTGGTCTTTTTGAGACAGGGTCTCCCTGTAGCCCCAGCTGTCCTGGAACTCACTATGTAGACCAGGCTGGCCTTGAACTGACATAGGTCCACCTGCTTCTGCCTCCCAAGTACTGGGATTAAAGGCATGCACCACCACGCCCAGCCCTAAACTAAAATAAATGTTTTTAAAATCCATACAAATTAAAAACAGAGCCAGAGCCAGGGCATGGTAATGCACATCTGTAATCATAGCACTTGGAAGTTAGAGACTGAAGACATAGTTCAGTTTGAGGCCAGCCTGGGTTACAGGAGACCCCATCTCAAAAGTAAATAAATACTTTGGAGGCTGGTGAGAGGCCATCAAGCCTGACAACCTGAGTTCAATCCCTGGAACCCACAAAGGTGGAAAGAGACAACCATCTCTTTCGGTTTGTACTCTGACCTCTGCACGTGATGCAGCATGCATGTACACTCATACCACATATAAACAAATAAGTGAATAAATAAATGTAAAAAAATTGTATTTATGTGTATGTGTGTGTCTATATGTGTGTATGTGCACATATGTGTGGGTGTCCAAGGAGTCCAGAAGGTGTCTCTGGATGCCCTAGATCTCGAGTACAGGCAGTTGAGAGGCAGCCAATGTGGAACCCAAATTCTGGTTCTCTCGTAAGAGCAGCCAGTGCTCTTAACCACTGACCCATCTCTCCAGCCCTAAATTTTTTTCTTTTAGTAAAAGCCTTTAGCTCTGGGGCTGGAGAGATGGTTCAGTGGTTAAGAGAACTGGCTGGTCTTGCAGAAGACCCAGATTCAGTTCCCAGTACCCACATGGTAGCTAACACCAATCTCTACCTCCAGTTACAGGGAATTGGACACCCTCTTCTGACCTACACAGGCATTGCACAACACAGGTGCACTACACATATAGGCAAAACACTCATACACATAAAATAAAAATAATAAAATATTTTAAAAAGACTTTAGCTCAGTGCTGTAACTCATGTTTGTAATCCCAATGGCACTCAGGAGGCAGTAGGATTACCACAAATTGAAAATCGACCTGATCAACATAAATTGTTCCAGGGCTATACAGCAAGACTCTGTCTCAAAAAAATCAAACACTGAGATTTTCATGTCATGGTCCTACCTTGTTGGCAAGCTCATTGCCACCATTTCTGTGAAACGCAGCAGGGGATGCTGAACATGCCTCACAGAAAGGGTCAGGACCATCTTCAGAGAATGAGAACCCCGAGGGACAAGTCAGATGGCTTAGCGGGTAAAGCCACTTGCCACCAAGTCTGACAACCTGAGTTTTATCCCTGGGGCCCACATGATGGAAAAAGAGAAGCAACTCCCAAAAGTTATCCTCTGACCTCCACACACATATTGTGGCAGGTGGATGTACATACATACAAAATAAATGTCTTTTTTTCTTTTTTTTTTTGGTCTTTTTGAGACAGAGTCTCCCTGTAGCCCTAGCTGGCCTGGATTTGCTATGGAGACCAGGCTAGCCTCGAACTCACAGAGATCTTCCTGCCTCTGCCTCTTGAGTGCTGAGATTAATAAATGTCATTTTTTAAAAGAGAGAATGTGGCTAAAGAGATGACTCGGTGGTTAAGAGCATTAACTGCTCTTGTAGAGGACTTGGGTTTGGTTGCCAGCACCCACATGGCAGCTAATAACCATCTCCAGTTCTGGGGACTCCAACAGTGTCTTCTGGCCTCTTCAGGCATTGCACACCATGGGTACACTTACATTCATACAGACAAAACAGTCAAAAATATATAAATGTTTTTGTTGGGTGGGGTGGGTGTGGCCTTTAATCCCAGCTCTTGGGAGGCAGAGGCAGGTAGATCTCTGTGAGGTCCTACATAGCAAGGTCCAGGCCTTCTGGGGCTGTAGGGAGACCTTGGACAGAGACAGAGAGAATGGGAGGCCCTGGTGAAACTGTTCCCTGGGCTTTGTGTCAGTAGTTGTACAAACTATGAATGGATCTTGTAACTTCTCAGGGGGTCGTGTAAATTCACCACAGAATTGTGGAGCTCAGTCCCA